ATAAAAGGGCCACCAGGTGAAAAATTGCATGTTAAAGAGAGATTAGCATGTTCATGGGAGATTAGCATGTTCATGGGAGATCGTAGAGCCGCAACCAAGGGGTCGGCGCGCAAATTGCCTGTGCTCGTGTGAACCCTGTGAAAGCGCACGTTTTAAATGGGCGTAAAGCACAACTAACATCGGAAGGTGGTAGGATGGGAACATCATAGTCAATTATGACTTAAACTGGTTGATAACCTCCATGGTGAATTTGATGGCTGGGTGTATGGAATTGATGTGATTGAGGAATTGGTTCAGAGCTGGTCAACCAATCTGAGGACCCAATCAAACCCATCTCCCTTGCCATACATAGCAGGGGTCACTAAAAAGAGTTCCGAAATAATGAGCAAACACAAGATTCAGGTTCGATTTAACAGTACATAAAATTCGTGATCTGATCCCATCTGTGAAGGATATGATCCCAGACATGCAATACCCCGGCGTCTACAAGCTAAGCTGTGTCTGCGTCAGTAGTTACATTGGGGAAACTACGCGACATGTCTCGGACCGTGTTCGTGAACATAAGGCAGATCTGAAAGACGAAGGTACTTTGCAAGCCCACTGGCTATCAACAAAGATTCGTTCATGAAGCCATCCATATATATAGATACAGAAACAATTTCAAACGAGAAGATGGGTACAAACTGAGCAATTATTGTAAGGACGTTATCAACCAATTTAAGTCATAATTGGCTATGATGTTCCCATCCTACCATCTTCCGATGTTAGTTGTGCTTTACGCCCATTTAAAACGTGCGCTTTCACAGGGTTCACACGAGCACAGGCACTTCGCGCGCCGACCCCTTGGTTGCGGCTCTGCGATCTCCCATTAACATGCAAATTTTCACCTGGTAGCCCACACCACCAATACCCACACCACGAACACCCACACCACCAATACCACACACCACCAACACCCCACACCACCAATACCCACATCACCAATACCCACATCACCAATACCCACATCACCAACACCCACACCACCAATACCACACACCACCAACACCCCACACCACCAACACCCCACACCGCCAACACCCACACCACCAATACCCACACCACCAACACCCACACCACCAATACCACACACCACCAACACCCCACACCACCAACACCCCACACCGCCAACACCCACACCACCAATACCCACACCACCAATACCACACACCACCAACACCCCACACCACCAATACCACACACCACCAACACCCCACACCACCAATACCCACATCACCAATACCCACATCACCAATACACCACCAACACACCACCAACACCCCACACCACCAATAGCCACACCACTAAAACCTCACACCACCAACACCCCACACCGCCAACACCCCACACCGCTAACACCCCACACCGCCAATAGCCACACCACCAACACCCCACACCACCAATACCCACACCACCAACACCCCACACCAACACCCTACACCACCAACCCCTACAACCACCAATACCCACTGCACCAATACACACACCACCAACCCCTATCACCACTGTCCACCAACACCCACAACCACCAATACACACCAGCCCAAACCGTGTCAGGGTGAGGGGGCGGCGCCAAAACAGAAAAAGGCGGAGCCTGAAGAAGAAGAGGGGGTAGGGTCTAGAGATGTAGGGGCGGAGCCTTAACGGCAGTGGGTGGAGCCTGGTGAATGAGAGGCGGGGCTAATGAGTAAAGGGCGGGGTTTATAGAGGAAAACAGGCGGGGCTTAGAGGTTTAACGTCCCTTTAGATTCCAGGTTAAACATGACACGCAGCACATTTGCTGCAGTGCCAGACAAACTCGTGCCGTTGGTTACTCTCCACCCAAACTAGCATCTACAGGTTCGTATTTCTGACATGTGTCGATCATGCCCAGACAACGTATATAACATCATATACTTATCAATTATTTGGAATGCACTTCCCATGCACTGCGCCATGTAACCAAAATGGGGTATTTGAGATAATTACTCAGTAAAGGAAGTGATTGCAGACAAAAAATAAGATCTTTAAAAACAGAGTATAGCCACGGTCTACTTAATTGTGTGTCGTCATTGGCAATTATCAATGCACGTGCATTTCACCCCATTCACGAATCAGGATGCCCCTGATTGCGATTGTTGGACCAATAGCCGAGGCAAGCAGGATTCATACAATGCACGACAGCTACAGTGGTGCAACCCGTGTAATGCTGGCTATGCTGATATACTAGTTGCGGGTGTCGTGTTTGGCTGGTGGTGTGGAGGCCGATTGATGGACTTTGCCCCCTCGTGGTCTCGGCACAAGCGGCCAGTGGACACTGGGGCCCTCCCCGCCCCCCCCCCCCCCCGTGGACACTGGGGGGGCGGGTCCCAGTGTCCACTGGGGCCCTCCCCCCCCCCAGTGTCCACTGGGACCCCCCCCCAGTGTCCACTGGGACCCGCCCCCCCCCCCCAGTGTCCACTGGGGCCCTCCCCGACCCCCCCAATGCCCACTGGGGCCCTCCCCCCCCCAGTGTCCACTGGGGCCGCCCCCCCCCCCAGTGTCCACTGGGGCCCTCCCCAACCCCCCCCCGTGTCCACTGGGACCCTGCCCGCTCCACGTGAAGCCCATTGCATCCTTGCAGATCGTCGCTTTGCAACCCCGGTTGGCCTCAAGCACCGTGCCTTGTCAGAGAGAAAGCTGCCCAAGGTGAGTTCGAGAGACGCAAGGACAATGAACTTTTTCACAACGGCAACAGCTGGGATGATAATACACTTGCCGTGGGAAATGTGCTGGAGGTGTGCATGTTGCTACTCTAAAATGTAGCTGGGTCGATGCGAAATTTAACCCGTTGCGCACCATATACATCGTTAACTTAATGCGTTTGGCATTATTTACGTGATTCATCGGTTTTGTTTGAACGTGTTTCTACAACAGCAGTGACTTTCAGAATATTTACTGAGACATGGAGGAATCCAATGAGCTATGAAGCTCGTTATCACAGTTGTCCAGTAGGGGCGGGTCGGCAAGTCTGCGTCGCACTGTTGAATATCCCAACAAATGTATTGTTTTCATTTGCAACTTGGATATCTTTCTAATGTGATGGAACCGTTCCAATTGAGCAAACAAACTTACTAGTTACAATAAAAAAAACGAACAAAGTTTCCGTGCAAATCATCAGCACATTCTACCAGTGTAACACAATGTACTACTTTACCTACTTTGCTTGTTTAGACTTGACAATTGGACGATGTATTGTGATTGGATATTGAGGACCTGCTATAATTTACCAGTCCTCAATACAAATGAACATCTAATTTATATTTATTGAGCTCCTTCAACGCAAGGCGCTTGACATAGCTTACAAAGCGATGACAAAACTCTTTGAGATGGCAGAGGGGCGTCACAGCGATGGAGGAATGCGGGACAGCTCCCGAGGATCACGACAGGGTCAGGGAGGGACAGGGAGGAGTGGAGGGGCGAGGGGAGAAGAAGATAACGAGCAAGAGGGAAGGCCGCGAGTTCTTGTTCACGTGCGGACCAAGTGACACTTTGTACACGACTTAGTTGATACTGATGAATGCATATTCCCATTGATAGAGGCCGTTTAAAGTCCTCTCGAAGTTGAACGTTGCATTGATTAATATTGAGGCTCACGGTAGCCACGAGTAGCCACTACGTTCACAATACTGTAGAGTGAACGTACAAGCCCTTTGTCAATCCACTGCTGGATGAAGAACTCCCCATGCCGTATCGGTCATGGGTGTTGTTTTGTTTGACCATACCCCACCAAAGTGGGGGAGTGCAGGTTGATGGGGGGGGTGGGGGGATCAAGAACCACTCTGGCCACTGATGTTATCCGTGGCCGCGAATCAAGATCAAGTCACCACCCTGAATCACGCCAATTCACAGAATCACCAGGATGGCGAATCATTACGCCTCAAGTTTAAACCTTTGGATAATGTGTGGAGCAAACAGGACCGGGTTGGTTACGAGTGGCGTATTTATTATTGCGCTCACGTAATGCTATCCAGCGTTGTCATCACAAGAGCTGTCTGCCTTCTGCTGTTTGCGTTGCCAGCGCACTCCCACATGCACACCAAGTGTGGCTCTGTCGTTTGAGCCTCTTACATTTGGATACGGCCAAAATGTCACTTCAGTCCATTCCCACACCGAGCACGTAACGTCCTCGTGCCCTCAGTGGGACTTTGGAATCGTTTGCGCTCTGAATCAGGTGCACAGTCCGGATCAGATTAGCTTTACACGCGCAAATAATGAAATATTTTCTCCACATGAAAGCCAATGAGAGCCAACTAAGTTACAGTGTCCCTTTAGAAATAGAGACATGAACAACCAAACGAAAGCAACGTGTGGATAAGGCATATTTCTAGTTGGAATAAAAACAATCCTTTACAAAAGGAAGACTTTCTTAATTGAACGTTTGAAACATTTTAGTTGTACATATGATGCAGAAACATTTTAAATCACTTCATAAGGCTCTACACGTCATAACACCTTTACAGCAGCAGATGGCCCATATACAGTACTTCACTTGCAACCAAAAATTCACAAGTTCAAATTCTGGTCAGAGAACTATTCAGCCCATAAGTATTCAAGATTAAATGCTTACTGATGGAAAGTCAACAACGGTTATTCAATGGAGACACTGAACTCTATGACAGGAATCGCGTTCCAATAGGGATGAGCAGTACAGAACTGCTTGAATGAGCTGGAGACACAGCCAGAAATTCAACTTGTCCATTCCATGAAACTCTCGATGGCAGTCACATCGATCTCTTGGCTGCCCAGCGACCTATGAGAGCACAACAAGACAAATATCCCCCTTATAAGCCTCTGACAGGCTGTTGGTGTGAGCGCTGTTAGCGAGCACCAATGAAGCCTGGTACGGCACACGAAGGGGTGGGTGGCAAGCGCCACGCACAGCGGCCTTTGTCTCCCCAATGGCGATGTTTACACACCGCACCAGGTACTCCATTTCATGCTGAGTCGACCTAGGGGAAGCCAAGGACCAGTTCAGATTATCGTCACTGGAGTTGGTCATGAGCGGGAATCGAACTCGGGAGATCGGGTTCGTAGCGCAGCACGCTAACAGTTGCACTATTGATAAGACAGGCACAAGCGCAAATACCAGGGGCCTGTTTTATTAAGGCCATTTCTGTCGCAAGCAAGGACTTCTAAAGATAGCATGCTCAGTGCCTGCATGGGTGAGATAACAGAAGGAGAGCAGATAGCAAAACATTGTGCACATTGCCCCATATTATGACTCCTATGTTGGGTGTAAAATTTTAGACTCGCAGATCCTATGGGTAATATCACGGCCTCATTTCCAAGGTTCACTGCTTCGGTCTCAACCTCCTCTGATCTGCAGTGCCACATTGTTGACTGCTTGTAAATGTTAATGGTTCTCAAAGTGTTATTATGTATAGGAAGGGTAGGCCATCATTACCAAATTAATAATAATAATAATAAAGTATCCTGAAGTGAAATAAATGGCTATGGCTTTAGAAAGGGCACAAAGATTAATACAGGTGAATCATTTTCATGGCACAGTTTAGCCAATCTTTCTCTGTATACTTTGGGTTATATGCAAGTGTGGTATGCACATAATGTATATTTAAAAAGTATTAAAGATGGGGCCACTTAATTCTTAAAACTAATGACACCATTACTAACCCTTTAGTGCAATAATTCAATTCAGTAAATAAAAAGCAGAGTGCTGATAATAGAGAACTCATTAAATTTTCATTGCAATAAAAAATATATACCCAGTATAAGTACACTATATTTTCCAATGTATATTTGCGCTTAGCTCTCCTTTGCAAACAGGATGTTCATCTCAGAAGCTTTTCCTCACTGAATAAAAGGGGTAAAAACTGCGTGTAAGCAGAGATATCCAATTTTGAGCTAGCATGAAGAAAAAAACAATCTATACAGTTTTTTCCCCTGCATTCTTGAGCGGGCTACATTTGCCCACAGGGGCAGAGATATTGTGCGTTTGGATCAATCGGACAGCCATAAGCACACCCCTGCTGAACTTTAATATACCAATGAGACCAGAGGTTGAAGACATTTGATGCAAGCAGGAGACTCGATGGCTCAAACCCCTGGTATACACGCCAGTTGCCAGCCAGTAACATCGTGCTGCTTCCTGGACAGTGCGGCAGTGATGGATGGTAATGTCAATGATCGATTAAAGGTATTGATTTATCTATCGACTGGCTGGATGCTGATTTATGTTAGACATTAGCGAAAGCTGCAAAAAGACACAAATATTTACGTTTCCAGTCCCCTTTGATTTCCCATCTTCAGAGGTATCTTTACATGAGCTTGAACGAAGAGGCAGCGCTTGAGGGGACAGTGTGTGTGCTTTCTCAAAAGCATTCCTACAATTGAAAGCTGCCTATGGCTTATTAATATGGATTAAATATACTTCACCAGCGATGATGTAATGCACAACAAAAAAACTAATATGTTCGGCAATGATCCTTATTCAGAGCAGAAATCCATAGGCAAAGCAGACATATTGTGCCAGAGATATCATTGTACAACTGGAAAAGACTGAAATTTGGAAAAATAAGCTTAAATATGAATGTTTCCCCACTAGCAAATTATGTAATAGGATTTATAACAACCCTTTGTTATTCTTCTGCTGGAAAAAGGCATCTACAGCCTGTGTCGGTCATGAGGGCTGGTTGGCTACATTTCACCACCATATTCAGTGTGGGTTGGCGAAAGGTGGCCCAGGACTGGTTTAGATACCTCTCTTCACCATTTCTAGGAATCAAACCCAGATTATCATGATAGGTTGAGTTGACCCCTGACTGGGATTTAAACTTGCCGCCTTCCAATTATGAGTCCAGCACTACGTTGAGTTGACCCCTCACCAGGACTTCAACTTGCGACCTTCCAAATTACGAGTCGAACACTCTCCCGATACACAATTTAAAACACCTTTACATTTTTTTGCTGATACAGAAACGTGTTAACCGAATGAATCTGAACGTAACAGGTGCTGGAGTGCAGAGGCCTGAAGAGGTGATACCATGGCTCACTTGAAGGCAGAATCAGAACACGGGGCAGAAATGAGCACCGATGTGGTGGTGGTCGGTGCTGGCATCTCTGGGTTGACTGCTGCATACCGCCTGTTGCAGACGGACCCAACACTGGGCGTGATTGTGCTCGAGGGGAAAGGTAAACATTTGGAATGTTTGAATGTATGTTGAACTTCTTTCGCACCGTACGTTGCCAACCGTGTAAATTGGAGGTGCAGGGTAAGGACAACAAATTAAACATAAAGCAGTTCTAAAGAAATGAGTTTTCAATCTAGATTTAAAAGTTTATAGCTCCAGTGGCTTCCCCTAATATGGGAAGGAAACGTGCTCCAGAAGGCCGAAGAAGGGAATCTGAATGAGTTTATGATTGATCTATTTTTAAAATATTGGCCTTTATTGCAGTCCAATTTTTGGATTTCATATTTCCGTATTTAAATGTATTACAATGTAATACCTTTCTTTGTTTACTTAATTTAATAATTGAAAATCTTGATCGTTGAGTTAAAAAAAAGTTTACTTAAAGTTACGTTAGTAAAACAATAATTGTACATGTTATCTCCATATATATAAAGGCAAAGTTGTGAATATGTGTGTCTGTTCAAAATGTTTAGCGTACTTTCCGACATGCAACAAACTGGATATTTGCCATGTGGGTACTTCCCAGACTGTACACCATGCCAAAATTATAAAAATACACTTTTTTGGGGGGGGGGGGGGGAGCTCAATAATGCATAGATTTTTTGCACGGCAAGTGAGCTGTGACGTCAAATCTGTCACGTGACTCGCGCATGTGGAAGCGTAACGCATTGTAGTGTAGCGGTTAGCGCACCGCGCTACGAACCCGGCGACCCGAGTTCGATTCCCGCTCACAGCCACCACCGGTGACGATTATTTTAACCGGTCCTGGGCCTCCCCTAGGTCGACTCAGCCTCAAACGACTAACTGCTGTGGTGTGTGAACATCGCCACTGGGGAGACAAAGGCGGCCGGGCATGGTGAATCCAAGTCCCGGGCAAAGCCGGGTAGTACAGCTAGTATTTGAATAAATCTAAGTAAAAGTGACATCTTGATTTGAAGCTTTCGTGACTGCAGGAGTAAAATTGACATGTTAAAGTAACGTCATGCGATCGTAGTTTTGGCGCAATGTAAACAACGTTGCTTTCAGTGACATCACTTTTTTATTAATCTGAGTAAAAATGGAAATTTGGATTATCCAAAAAAATGTTAAGACCCAGGTTCAGATTTTTCAGATTAAGCCATGAATCTGGAACACATCCCTAGTAAACATGCATTTTACAGTTGCAGATTCTCAAACATCAACCCTACAATCTTGGCATTTCCTGCAAACTCTGGTTGGTCCTAACCCTCCCATCCATCCACCGACCCATCTACACCACCTCCCTTGACTTGAGATTCAGGGCTCGCCTGCAGCTGAGCACAGTTTCAGGGATCCCCAGTAGTGGCTCCTCAATTCAATTATTTGAATTGGCAAGATGGAATAACTTGTGTGTGTATGTGCACTAGAAATATATGGCTTTGATGAGCCATGCGATGTCTCACCTTGAACATAGGACCCTTCAATAAGTGGGGCATGCCCCCCAGTTTTTCAAAATTACTGTGCCTCTTGGGCCATCAACTCCCATAGATGGGCGAGTGAGAAAATGGTCTAGAAATTTGGAATCCACCCTGGGGAATAACATTACATTTCTCTGTGTGTTTGAGTCCATGTGCCTCAGCATACGCGTGCTTGTGCATACATACTGGATGTGACTGGTGGTGGTGAAGTGGGGAGCACTAGTGGCTCAGTTTTATTGCGCTATACTGCGAATCTGGTTACCTGAGTTTGATTGCCGTTCACGGCCAACACTAGTGATAGCGATGATCGAAATCGATTCTGGGCCTCTCCTAGGTCAACTGAGTGGTGTGTAAACATCGCCACCCAAGAGACAAATGCGGCCGGGCATGGTGCTGGCCACCCACCCCCTTGTGTGCTATGCCGGCCTTCAAAGGTGCTCGCTAACGGCACTTGCCACAACCGTTTGTTAAGGCTATACAGGGGATCTTTGTCTTTCTTTGTGTACATATGAACACCAGAGCGGGTGGGAGGACGCACAGTGGCAACTCAGCTGAAGTCTGCATCAGGGCAAGACACGTGGGACCTCGGCGGACAGTGGGTCGGCAGGTGCAGTCTGCACTCCCTTCTCCACATGTTGCAAATATGCCACGAGATGCAAATATTCGTTAGGTTGTAATAGAACCTGAAACTTGTTCAACGTGTCAAGAGTGCACATACGAGTTTGTGTGTGTGTCGTTAGTATGCCGTGTCCCGTGCCACTCTGAGCGTTCCACTCGCAATAACTTGGTCGCAAAGTATAAACCCGGTCCGGAAGTTATTGACTAAAATTACTACTACTTTGTGGGAAATCAACAATGGTTCTATCGAGTAGACACATAACCAATCACATTAATATATATTCTTACACTCACGGTGCCATGCATTGAATTGTGCAAGAACATTTTAATTATTTGGAGTTCATGCAAACTTAGTTTGCCTTACACATTCTAGATATATGGTATTATCACAAAGCCTAGACGTATTTATTCATTATTTTTTTCTATTTAGACCTAATATTTCCCTTGCAGCCCCTTCGCACAATGTATGTACGTACGTTGGACATCTTTGACACGTGCCTCTGGGTCCTCAGCACCCAACGGCACGTGATGGGTCTCCTCAAAGAGCTAGGCCTGGACGTGTACCCACAATACACCCACGGTACCAAGGTGTGTCAGCTGGGCGGCGCGCACGCCAAAATCGGCACCTACTCATCCAACATCCCCAGCCTGTCCCTGTTGGCGCTCGTGGACCTGCAGCTCTTCATGTGGAAGGTACCCCGCTGGCTCGGTCCCCGCACACTTCTTTGTGAAGCTTATAACGTTCGTGACACCCACGGACTTCTCACATTTGACTATGTCATGTGTTGTCTGTACACCAAGAAGTGAATCTTTTTTAATGTGATGGAAAGTTACGTGTGTTCATTTATGCCGAGGAGGCATTCACGTGTAGGAGTGAAGCGGTTGATCACGGGCTATTGCACTGTGCTGTGAACCTGTTGAGCCTGAGTTTAATTAATGGTCACTGCAAGCTCCAGTGATGAGTAATATCTTAAACAGTTCAAACCTCCCCGGCCCACTTCACCGGCGAACACTGACCAACGTGGTGAAGTACGGTCAATTAAAACCCATGATCTACACGTCATGGGGAGGTGTTCATACAGGAGCGGATCTATTCCTTGAATTTGTAGTTTCCATTGCTGGCCGAGGTATGACATAGGAGATGAGCACTGGCCTATGTAATTTTGAGCATTTTCTTTGATATATGTACTGGCGCTTACCACAGAAATGTGGAATTTCAGTCACTTTCTCAACACCTACCTTTCAGTTGTTTGAGTTTAAAGAGGTGGGGCCAGTAATTGTATTAATGCGGCATATCTCAGGGCTGCGAATGCATTTGACCACCTACCTAAGCAAAGAGACGCTTTGACCTTTGACTTTCACACGTGTGCTGCCCTCGCCACAGTAACGTGGATTGTAAATCCAACATTTTAGAGCCGTCGTTGCAGATGAGCACCGGCTCTACGTGCCGTTGAGCAGTGACATACTGACTTCACGGGGCTCGAAGACGTACCGAAGAGACCACAGCTTTGTTTAATCTCACGAGAGGCAGATGTTTAGAAATACGGCTCGGTCTGTGCCGTGCACGGGAGGGCAAGTGCACAGCAGCGGCTTTGCTGTGCGGAGGCTGCAGCTGTCAAGACACTACGGTGCTTGCCATCTGTTTTCCAACACGGGTTCTTGAGCGTTGAGCACCCCCTGGTGATGAGAACCTCGTAACGTCCCCGCTGAGCGCACCCCATGCGCGTTAAATTTCCCTAACGGTCTCAGCACGATGCTTGGGGAATTCTGCGAATTAACCACAGCGCTTGATTTAATCAACGCTGCCATTAAATTAAGCATCCTTGGTAAGGGGGGGCGGGGGGGCGGTTCTGCAGCACATGAGGAACGTATAATTATTTACAGCCTTGCAACAGAGGAAAATTGCGCTCGCATGTCATTAAAGTGTCAATGTTGTGCTTCTGAACAAGCTTTGATGGTTCTTCATTACACTTTCTGCCAATAAATGTAAATGTAAAATTACCCATTTGTGCTGCATGAAGGCAACACACATACCAAGCCAGTCAATGATCCTACTTCACCACTCTACTCAGTGTGAGTTGGCGAAGGCGGCGGGGCCATTTCCAATTCAGATGATTAAGTGCCATTGATGACAGCCGTGGCCGGGAATCGAACCTGGGTAGCCGGGTTCATAGTGCAGTGTGCTAGCCATTACGTAACAGATCCATACCAGCGAATGGATATATTACAAAATAATGCTCAAAATCAACGTGTGTGCCCACTCAATCGAAAAGTGAGATGTTGCTCATTTCCAATGATCCAGTGACTAAAATGTCACATTCCCATGGTAGGGAGACAATTATCTCCATTGGAAAAATACCATAAACCTCCCACTGACTTGAACACACACCAGGATACAACTTAAAACAACTTAATCAGCAGCAGCTATTATCTATCCACGGCTGGATGTAGGCCTCCCCAAGACCAACGTCATCTCTCACAGTATTACGATGCATCATATAATCTATCACACCTGCACGCGAGCTGATTTCACATTTCCATCTGTGCAGTGGGCATACTCTCTTATGTATTTCCTCCTTCGGCCATATTCAGACTATAATCACCCAGGGATGTCTGTCCTTAACGCTCGTGACGTCACTCCACATCGACCAACCCTCCTCCTTAATATTCATGAGCAGGTGACGTCCTCCAAATGGACACCCCCCCCACCCCCCATTCATAATACTTAGCGGCTGACGTCACTCCACATGGGGGGCCGAGGTGCCTCCTCCCCCCTCCTCGGCGTCAATTTACAACCCGCACTACAAAGGCAGAACCCTCACGTCACGTGATCTCCGTAACGCTGTTGAGACATCGAAGTAAAAAGGACGTCGTGATGAACAATCGATTTTAACTTTGAAATAAAATAGTTCTGTGTCACTGCGCCCTTACAACTTGCACACGCATTAATGGAATGAATATCACGTCGCGGTCTGCTTTTCGCTTGCAAGTTTCGTCCTTGGACGGGCAAAAGGCTAGTAATATAATCATCAAATAAATGTGAAGAATATTGAAAGCGCCCTTGGCAATGTCCACCCTGGAAACTGCAGATAGACCGGCTGTGCCAAACAGTGCCCGCAGCCAACCCAGCAGCATGCCCCCTGGCAGCCCAGCTTGACAGCATGACCATGGAGACATTCAAACAGCAGAACCTCTGGACCCAAGGTATGAGAGTATAAAGTGTCTACCTGTACATTTATACGTGCATTGCTCCCCTCACCATGGCAAGTTTGTGCAGTGGGGAGCACAGGTGGTGTCTCATGCCATTCATCTCGGTGTTTTTTTTCCCATACCATCTGGGACTGTCCCATGACTTGCCAGCAATGCCCCTGACACTTCGCGTGGCTTCAAAGTGAGCCTAGTTTCGTATGATCTCTGTGGAGACAATATCACCACCACTTAGTGGTGAATGACAGTTGTTGTAAGCGTTTTCCCTCAGAATTGAACCAGATAAAAATGAGTGAAAACTTAAATACCTGTCTTTTGTGTGCAGTTGTGGCTAACTGGGCTTAGGCCATGAGAGGCAGTTGCTGGTGCCTGGGTTCAAACCCAGGAGTTTAGCAGTGCTGGCTCATTGCTGCAACAATTGCTAACTCCTAGGGCAGCAAGCTCCGGAATTCAACTCAGAATCTCAGTGGTGGCTCAGTGACTCTAACACAGCCAAGCCATTCTCCTTCATATATCTGTAAGCTAGTTGTAATTACTGGCGAAACGTCGTACTCAGATTGTAAATGTTGTGGCTTGGCTCTCCAACACATCGGTGTGCTGTACTAGTGACGAATTGGCACGTTCTGTTTACGTGAAAACCCTTACTAGTTGGCTGTGTCGGGTGGTGGCGGGTTTTAACGACACAACATTTATATATTTACGCGATCTAACCCAAAAACCTCTATTATAGACAGATATATGAAGGAGACCTACAAATATATTGCCCACACAACCCATTGGCCAATTGGCTATGTGGGAAATACATTCCTTTCTTACGTGGAAAGACATTTTAATGAGATATTGTCTGTTTATCTATTTTTAGTATTCACATTCGCCACAATTACACCATTGATTATTTCAAGCCATTATAAGCTGCCCGGGCTACCTTGCCACCCCTATTATTATTATTACGTAAAACTGCTACCACTACCGCCTACACCGCTGCTTCCACCAATAACCGCTTCTGCCGCCCCACGCAGCTGCTAAGGATGCATTGGACGTGGCATGCAAGAACAACTTTGGGCTCGAGTGCTCACAGGTGTCCTGCCTCTACTACCTGAGCTACGCGGCCGCAGCTGGGGGATTCCTGCCTCTAGTAGAGGCCTCGGTGGGGTCGGCACAGGAATTCAAAGTCAAGGTACCCTTCACCAAAATATTCAACCAACTCCACAACCATTTTACCACCTTGTTTCATTTGTTTTCATTTAAAGCCAAACCTTTGTTGGTGGATAATGTTTACATGTATGTTGAACTTATTTTGCACCATACATAGCCAACTGTGCTAATATTTATTTGGAAAGCCATTAGGCAATGGATTTTTACATGTGGAGGCACAAGAGATGTCCTGTATTAGCTAACATGCTGACTTGACATTTAAATAGACCGCAGAGCTTTATGGGAAAAATCCCACAATGTTTGATGTAAAATACCGTACAAGTTTTTTTTTTTTTAGCCAGACACTCTTTTGGCCCAAAGACCCTGTAATCAGGTACTGGTCACATTGCAGCAGTCCGAGCTGCCAAAGAAAATCAACATGTTCAAAGACTGCTCTTTCTTTCTTTTGTGGAATATCTGCCAACTTTCACAAGTGATATAAACATTTATCAAGAAAGATTGACAACTGTGAAGACTAACGGAACGCCTGCTGCACCAGATGCTGAGCAGCTGGTGGATGGCATTGATTCAACACGCGCTACGTGCTTTGGCATGGGTAGGGGTCGGCAACCTGCGGCTCCGGAGCCGCATGCGGCTCTTTAAGGACCGCTTTGTGACGTTATTTATTAAGGACCACCTTCTCGTATTCACATGCACTGTAACTCTTGAAATAGTTTTTTTACTGAATTGGAAAAAATTAACTTCTTGTTATTTTGGTTGCCGACCCCTGCCCATGGGAGTTTTCTGCGGCCGGGTTTAATGCGTGTCAACTTGGCTACTCTTACACTCTTTGGCATCCCCAACATTTCTCACCTCCAAACTCCAGACGATCCTTACCCATTCCTGAATATGGAGACCCACTACAGGCCAACACTCCATTCCCACCGCTGACTCCCAAATCTGTTCAGGATCAATGTCAATAATGCACTCAATGTCTTTAAGATTCTCCAAGGACTTGCCCCTGTCTACCTCGCAAATAACTGAACTCCACTCCATGCACTCTCCAGCCTGTAATCAAGGCTTCCCAATGAAGCCCCCAGTCAACTGTTGCTCAATACTTTCACAAAAGAGATCAATCCACGTCTCCCCTGCTGACTCCAACCATCCGTGCTGCCAGCTCACTGCACCAGTTCAAGTCCAGGCTGAAAACTTTCCTATTCTCCTCTGCCGACAACGACTGCCTCTTCTCTGAATACAATGTCAATGTACAACGCGATTATGCTCCATTTCCCCCGTGAAATGCATCACGCTATTTTACTTCCAGCGCCTTGAGATGCTCTTGCATTTAGATCTCCATATATATAAAAGGCAAAGTTGTGAATATGTGTCTGTTCAAAATGTTTAGCGTACTTCCCGACATGCAACAAACTTGAAATTTGCCATGTGGGTACTTTCCAGACTGCACACCATGCAAAAATTATGAAAATACTTTTTTTTTCTGGGGGGGGGGAGCTCAATAATGCATAGATTTTTTGCAAATCAAATCTGTCATGTGACCCGTGCATGTGGAAGCGTAACGCATTGTAGTGTAGTGGTTAGCGCGCTGCGCTACGAACCCGGCGACCCGAGTTCGATTCCCGCTCACGGCCACCACCGGTGACGATTATTTCAACCGTTTCTGGGTCTCCCCTACGTCGACTCAGCCTCAAACAAGTAACTGGTGTGGTGTATTACAATCACCACTGGGGAGACAAAGGCGGCCGGGCGTGGTGCTGGCTACCCACCCCCTCGTGTGCCGTGCCGGCCTTCATAGGTGATCGCTAACAGCACTTGCCCCCTACAGGCTACCCGTGTGTGTGGGAGTGGGGGGGGGGACTGCGTAGCGATTCGTGCGCTGCGCTACAAACCCGGCGACCCGAGTTCGATTCCCGCTCACAGCCACCACCGGTGACGATTATTTCAACCGGTCCTGGGCCTCCCCTACGTCGACTCAGCCTCAAAACGAGTAACTGCTGTGGTGTGTGAACATCGCCACTGGGGAGACAAAGGCGGCCGGGCGTGGTAGATCCAAGTCCCAGGCGAAGCCGGGTAATACAGCTAGTGCTCTATAAATCCAGGCATTGTATTGGTTTGTAGGTGTAAGCCTCTTGTGAGCGTGTCTCACATTGAGCTTTATAGCTCTTTTTCAGAAGCAACCTGGCCACAAATGATAGCACTACGAATTGGCTTATCATGTGGAAATTTACAGCGGTCAAATACTATAAACGCACGTTTATAAATGGAGGGAAAAATTGGAGGACCCGGAGAAAAATCCATGGGACCACGGGGAGAACATGCAAACTCCAAATATACAGGCATTGTCAGGGTCGGGATTGAACCAACGACCTCCTGTATACCAGGCAAGGTAGTTAACATTTTGCCGGATGTACTCATACACTGGCTGACTCTTGACACAGCCTCCATTTAACATGGGGTTAGGGCTCAACTCTATACCAGACTGGATTTTACCACTCATGGAGCTTACATCAAGTAACCAATTGGATTTTACAACCGATCAAAACGTGACAAATGACGATGGAAATTTCTCACGATCAATGACATTGACAAATCAATTAATTTGAGGCGTTGTATTTGATATGAATATACAAAGAATATATTTTCCATTAACAAGAATTATAGGGCTTGCCTCCGACCATATACCACGAAATGTACGTGTTTATTTGTGTGCATTGTTACATGTACATTTCCATATTGCTGTCTTGCCCAGCACCAACTGAATCTGTTTTTTGTGCAAATTTGTATGATTCAACAAATTATTGTCTACATTCGCTTATTTAACTTAATAAATAATAAGCATGCAACGATGTATTAATTACAATTATCAATACAGTTTGATGTGTACACTCACGAAACATTAATTGAATCATGCGTGTGGCAATCATTGATTTACATTTATGCAATTGGTCTGTTAATGTTACATTTAGGCTAATGGAGCGAGCAGAACTGCAGAAACGGGAAAAAAACGAGACAAAAACTAATTGATTCTTGAATTGGATCGTGACCCCAAATTGTGCCAACTAATGGAATCGCAGAGCTGGCTAGGGGAGGGGTGTGGGCGGCGAGAGTCATTACATGGCTACTGAACACACGAGTAATTAACTCGCTGTTGTGAATTAAAATGAAAAATTCATGTCTCTTGGCAAAACTTCAAGACCATCTACTTATATACTGCATTATGCAAATATACACCATTCATCATGGACGCTACTCTGCATTTATGATGCGTTGCCCTTATTGGAATGGATAAGGCATCATCATATTTCAGATACGTTATTTTCCGCAGCCATAAACATTTCCCAAAACGATAAACAAATGTTAGGAAAAATGATACATTGATGCAATGAAACAGCTGCTTACATTTGTCAAGCCATCCTTGACAACATAATTACATTAGAGTAGTGGTTAGGGTAATATCTGCTTACGTACATGCCTGCAAGCTTGCTCTCAAAGACAGCGAGCCTCCTCTATGACTTTGCTAAAGTTGCTATAAGAGTCAGACCTATGCTTCCGCACAAATTAAGGATTGCTTCTGACAAAGTGGCACTGGATGAGTCACCAGCACTGCAGTGTTGATGGCTGACAGCAACAAGCAGCGTGAGACACATGAGACGAGTAATAAGTCATTCATTCATAGCGCTTCTTAGGCTCATGATGCATGCACCTAAGAGCATGAGATTATCTTCAATTGCCCGAAATCTCACTCGAAGAATTTCCTTGGTATTTATGGTTAGAACAAGCGAGATGGAATAGATGAGACAGTAACATTGAGATAGGATAGACAAGGTATGGAATGACTAACCACGCGAGGATGCTATGAATTGTCAACTCAATGTCACTATTTAAGTTTTCTTTAATCAATCAGACCATAGCATTTCGAGTGACTACAGGGGTAACGTAATCCTGCTGCATGCAACACACAAATCCGAAATAATCGATTCCCACGACATACGATTCGACGCGTGGATTGTAAATGAAAAAATACATTTTAATTGATCTATTGTTACATTCATAGGATAAGAAAGTAAATAATAAAAATACGGGCAGACGGTACATATGAGACAATATAAGTGAGACAAAAAAATATTTATTTCTTTTAGTAATGACAATTAATGAAATCACAGGGGAAGTGAATCTCAACATGGTTGCTTCAACGTAGCCATTGTTCCAACATCGCCACAGCCATAGAGTTTTTTTTTACGTGCAAGAACTAACCAAATTAATTATTTAAGTTTATATTAGTTGTTGCACAGATGACCCCATTTTGCCAGTTGCATCTATATTACAAGCGAGATCCGTGCTGCGTAAGCAGAGCAACAAAACAAGGACAAAAACATCAGTCTTACAGAGAATGAGTACCGGGTGCTATGCCAATGTATTGTTAGATTTCGGCTTCCCCATGCAACTTGCCATGTTCCTTAGTGTGCGTTGGTGAATCAAATATATGCGTATATGATATTCAAATATCAATCACCACTGATGTTGGCTTTGGCTGGGAATCAAACTTCGTTTTCTGGGTTCATTGCGCAGTATTTCTTGAGTAATACAAGTCAAATATGCACTCTTTATCCAAGCAAACAAGCTTAAGGCCTATCAATTAAGTGGATATGTACGTATGTATTTCCACTCAAGACCAAGATCAATCTGCATATGTATCTCATTCTATAAAATGTATGTTTTTTTCAATAATGCACTTGCATTCAGTGAATATGAAAAAAAATTCGAAAAATGTATAATGGAGTACATTTCCGGATTCTAAGTGAGACGCCAGTGAGGATGTGCGAGGGCTACCTGCAGATAAATTAAAGGCAGAGATTAAGGAATGACAGTGGCTGCTACATTATAAAACCGTCTACAAGAGTACTTCGGTCTTCCGAGTCTGGGCCGAAGTCACGTCTCTGTACGATGACGATCGGTGACCGGGGCCTTGTCTCATGTGGCTCCCAGGCAGTGAAATTCATTTAAATTACACCTTAAGTGGCTTTT